GGGTTTAGGGGCTTAGGGTTAAGGCTCAAGAAGGGTGCCTGTGAGTTCATAAAGCGTTTCGGGCTTTGACGGTTTAGGGCTTAGGGGCTTTCGGGGATTGGGGGTTTGGGGCTTTGGGTGCTTTAGGGCTCAGACTTTGGAGGCTCTGGACTTCAGCTTCTTGGGCTGAGGGTTTAGGCTGAAATACTGCTCCAGGGGAGTCTGGTTTCAGGCACTGCTTGATGCACAAAGATCATTAGCAACGTCGGGCTCAGGGCATCTGTGGATGGACAGAACAGATGTACTCCCAAGTTTCGGCAACAGCTGCCTTTGCTGTGCGAGCTGAACACATGCCGCGATTTTGGTTGACAGCCGCAAAGAACTGCGTCACATCGCCATGTTGCGTGATAAAAGCACATCGTACATTATCTTTCCGTCAGCCGTAGCAAAAGCACAGTCTTTCGGTGTGAACACCAAGTGTACGATCCTATTGGTCCTATTGCTTCTACAACCAGACGAGGATGAGGACGACGACGGCGATGCCCAAGCCGGCGACGACGTACAACTACTGCTTCTGTAACTGCATCCGAAATCGGACCAGTAAAAACAAGAGTAATGGTAGAGGTAATAGTACTGTCAATATCAATAGTATAAGCATAGTAAGATTAACGGCTAAAGTAGACGTCAGAGCAATGAGGATGTTTAACAGTAAAGGTGACAACAATAGTAATAGCAGTTGTAGTGGAGATCGCACCAGCCGTTGTAATCGCAATGGTCATCTTAATCGTGATGATACTTGAAACGGTAACCGCAATAGAAACAGTAATAGTAAGACGGTAAAGAGTAACAGTAACAGTGCTGGAAGTGGCGATGGCGATGTTGTTGATGATGATGATGATGTCATGGGCAGTCATACTGTTGCGAATTTGGGAAAGCTGCTGCAAGTCTCCAAACGGTTCTGCCTGCCCAGACGACTGTTCTTTACCCTGGGGCGCCGACTGGCTCATTGCAAAAGGAAGGGACAGCACACCTCCACCTGGGCGGAGCACAATGATAACTCCCTAAGGGTCAAGTACTTAATAATCATATACTCTCCCAACAATTAAGCTAGATAACTACTATCCGCAACTAAGGCTAAAGTACCTTACTCATAGGGTCCTTTGGACCCTTAGGGACTCTTCTCCCATGGAGATGGGAGGCTCGGCCCTGAACTGTGGCCCTAATGCTTCAGCATCACCTGATCCCGACTCCCATCGAGACCTTCAGAGGGCCTGGGCTCTACGGTGAAGGGATACTTAAAGGATCATGGGACTTTGTAAGTAGGGTTATAACTAGGGTAACTATACTTATAACCCCAATTAGGGGCCCTACTTGCTAAGTCCCATGATCCTTTAAATAGGGGCGCCAAATATTAGAATGCCAAGGGTTTCGCGGATGATTATGGTACAGCTGCAATGAGGGACCCTTAAGGAAACATTCGATGGACTCCTCGGGATTCTGTACTCTCTGGATTCCGGATCACAGGAGGAACTTGGACTGTTCGTACATCGTTTTGCCTGAGATGAAGCCTGGCCTACCGTCGGGAGACGGACGGGCACCCAACTGGCAGCCCGAGCTAGAGCTAGACAAGGCTTCCCAGAGAGCTCCAACAGCCCCTTGTAGGGACCCTCTTGAGATTATGATTTGGGGACTGTGCCTTTGAAGCAAGGGATGTCGGTGGCTCTGGGAAGAAGCCTTCTTGCAGAATCTACGAGAGGCTACCGGCTGCTAGACAAAATAGCGGGCTGGAGACTCTGCCCCCAGGATGCGTTGGCCCTCAACGTAGCCCATGCCGAAGGCGTGCGTCTCAGCCACCCCGAAGTGGACGCCATACTCCCCGGGCAAAACACTAAAATGTCCGGCCGGGGAGACCCGCGTGAAGTCCAGCATGGACGGGTACAACGTGACTGTTGCAGTGGCACCCGCTTTGATGTGGACCCTTTGAAATCCGAAGAGGATCTTCAGAGGAACACCGTCTTTGCCGGCGGAGGGTGGGGTAAGGAAGCCGAGGACGACATCGTCCGAGTCTCTTTTGCCCGTGTTCGTGACCTTGACGACCTGATGCAAAGTATTAGGGTTTAGGGTTTACGTTTAGGGTTTAGGGTTTAGGGTTTAGGGAATTTTGGGGCCTTAAACCGTGGCATTGGGGTTTAGGGTGGACTAGATTCTAGTCTTACTACATTAATGGGGAGCCCTTTAAAACAAACATATGGATAGTCTTTACGGCTCCTATACTCGGAAGGTTCTAAAGACGAGGGGGAAACTCCAGAACCATTTCTTCTTTACTTCGCCCTACCGACAGACCCAAAAAGCCTTACCATACCGCGGCCACCGGGCAAACTCTGCGAGCTGAGACCAAGAGCTGCTCATCATCGCAGACTCCACGTCTGCATTGCGAGGAAAGGTCTGCCCCGGACCGTTCAGCTTCCCCAGTAAGCCTGTTCATGGCTTCCGGTTTAGGGTTTAGGGTTTAGGGTTTAGGGCGTCGTCTGTAAATGTCAATGGAGATCAAAATGATTTGGGACAGGATTCGGGGCTAGGGTGAATGATGTCGGGAGTAAGGCGAGGAAGGGCTTTGCAGAGGCTGAGGATTTCAGGACTAGGGGCCTTTGATTTTAGAGCCAGTTCAGGGTTTGGAGCCTCGCAGAGCATCTAGAGAAATCGTGGAGGGCTGCTTGATGATGGAATAAGCAAAGCTGGTGTAAGAGAGTCCGAATCCAAAAGGTACAACTGCTTGGCCAGTGTAGAATCGATAGGTCCTCCCCGGGTTGGTTCCCTTTGGGCATCGGCTCACGTTGTGGTCGGTACAGTCGGGGCGCGCGTACTTGGAAGGACCCGGGCGCATGCCGAAGTCGAAGATTGAAATCTGGTCTTGGTAGGAGGACTTGTACACGGTTTGAATGGTCCGTCCTGCAGGCGAGCTCTCACCATACAGGATCGGCGCGATCCCCAAAACAGCAACACTCGGCTGACCCAGATGCAGCACCGCACCGATCTTTGGGTTTGCCAACACTGCAGACAAGTCCAGTGGTGTCGCAGTCATGGTCACCAGGGTCACTGGCTTCTTTGCTGCTTCTGCGACCTTCTCGATGAGTGCCTGCTGGGCCGCGGTAAAGGAGATGTTCTTTGCATCGTGGCCCTCTTCAGCCCAGCTGAGGTCAGTTCCCACAGCCAACCTGGATTTGAGAATTGCTGGGGTTTATCGGCAAGTCGGCCCAAAGTACGTACTTGTCGACGAAGCGATCCTTCGAACTTTATGCAACATCTAGCTGCCAAGCCTGATGGACTGAAAGACACCCCGTTTACAAGTCGTAATTTCTGCAGTCATATTAAGGATCCCCTTGAAATTTGGGAGATAATTCCTCAGCAAAGCGCTTTTTTGGAGCCTCGCAGGCCCCCTTGCTTATGGGTGCGACCTAGCGACACCACCGTGTCGGCATGCTTCGCCAACTCCACTGCCGCTGGAATGCCGCTCTGATCTTCGGACAGAACATTCCTCGGCCATGTGGGTGGTCAAAATTATGGTCCCTTTTTGGGTCCTTATTATAATACGGACCATAATTTTGACAACTGCCCATGTATACCAAAGTATACTTGGGTACATGAACGCGTCTAGTCTAGTCTGGTCTGGTCCGGTCCGGTCCAGTCCAGTCCACTCTAGGGTTGATTGAAAGTTGGGACCCGCGATATTCCCACCTAAAATCGTCAGGAAGTCGTGACCAAGATTGTGCTAGATTCGGCACCCCGAGAGCACTCACCGTCTTGACCTGACCCTCGCTGCTCAAAGCGTCCAGAAGGGTGTAGAAGCGATTTCCGCACGGATGCTTCGGGCCGTAGTATCCGGCATCGCTTTGGGAGAGATTCGTGTTGGGTCCGATGACTGCAACAGTACCCACGGTCGCACGGTCCAGCGGGAGCGTACCCTGCAGATTTTTAATCAGGACGGCGCTCTGGCGAACTGCATCCTGCGATAATTTCAGGGCATAGTCGCTGCAGATTTCGCTGGCAGAGATGCTGTTAAGAGGTCCCGTTGGATCGAAGTGAGACAGCCGCATGCGGACGCGGAACAGCATCTTCAAACGTGCATCGATGTCTTCTTCGGAAATGAGTTTCTTGTCCAGAGCGGACTGCGCATGCTGAGGCACGAACGAAACACAGTCAATATCAGTGCCAGCATGGAGCACTGCTTTGACGGCCTCTTCCGCAGTTTTGGTGTAATGATGCTTGCTGAATACATCGTCGTCGGCATCACAATCGCTGGTGATGTAGCCATCGAAGCCCCAATTGTCACGGGCGATCGTCTGTAAGAGCCAGTCGTTGGCACATGAAGGCACTCCATTCACTGCGTTGTAACTGCACATCAGAGAGGTGACACGGCCCTTTTCCACACAGGTTTGGAACGGGCGCATGTAGGAGTCGACCAAGTCCTCGGCTGCCAAAGTCACAGCAGAAGCAGCAGGAGTAATAGTAGTAGGAGCAGCAGCAGCAGCAGCAGTAGGAGTAGTAGGCAGGGTTCCGGGTTTAGGACTTGAGGTTTAGGCCTGAGGGCTTTAAGCATAATAACCCTAAACCCTAAACCCTAAACCCTAAACCCTTTTCCCTGGAGCCCCGAACCCCAAACCTTGAAACGGGTCGACGGAGTCCTGGAGGTGCAGCGTCCAACAAGGGCTGCCATGGCTCCGCGACAGGGGCGGCTTCAAAAGGCCCTGACAGATTGGGAGTTCTTGAAGATAGTATAAACTATATAGTGCTACATAGTTTATACTATCTTCAAGAAGTCCCAATATAGTATACCCAGGGACTCCAATATTCTTTAATTAAGGAATATTGCTTTAATTATAGTAGGATCTTTAATATGATTTAAGGTATATTCCTTAATTAAGGGATATTGGAGTCTCTGGGTAAACTATATAGCGCTATATAGTCTGGCATATAGTAGTATAGTGTAGTACATCACGGCGTAAGAACCAGCTCGGAATTCGAAATCATGAGCTTAAGGACTGCAGGTAGACAGGCTGTCTTCTTCGAGCCCTGAATCTTGGAAGAGCTTGGCATGTCATGATGAAAACCAGGTCAGTCCTGGAACAAGCTGACAGAGCCATGGGCGGGGACTGCTGCTGGTCCGAATGGTCTTGCAACGGCAAAGACCAAAAAGCAAGAGCTGGGTGTGCAAGAAGCACAGAAAGATTAAGAAATGCCAGACAACGATCGCGATAAGTATTATTTTGGTGTATTCAGCATAGTGAATAGCGTAGAGGTGACAACATCGACAAACCATCGCAAACGCCACAACCACGACGGACAGCGACGACGACGACGACGACGACGATCGCAAGCAGACCACAAGTAAAGGGAGCCTCAGGCAGCGGCAGGTACAAAGCACAACCAAGTTCCCATGTTGAACTACCAACACTATTGACTAGTCATACAAGCACATGAACTGAACGGATCATAACCCCTAAGCGCAGCTACTCTGCCAAATAATGGGAACAATGTAAAACGAAAAGCAAAACAAGAGGCATAGCAGATGTGACAGCAGCAGCTGCGGCTGCAGCATCAGCAGTACTACCGCATGCCAGTTCCAACATGTACACGTGTCTGTGTCCGCAGTGGCCGCAGCGGTAGCAGTCGTCGTAGAGGTAATGGTGGTAATAGTGGTAGCAGCGGTGGTGCTGGAATAAGACCGATAGCCTTCAAAAAAGCTCTACCCTAAACCCTAAACCCTAAACCCTAAACCCAAAAAAGCTCTACCCGAAGCCCTAGAAGGATCCAACTGTCGCTGCATTGTCTCAGACGGTGCAGAGTCATGCGTTGAGCGTGGGCCCTCTGCCCTAAACCCTATGGAAGCTTGGAGCCGTTTTCAGGGTTCTACCCTCTAATTAAGGGGTCATAACCTACTATTATGTAGGGTTTGGGGTCACAGTTAGGGTTTAGGGAGTTTTACTTGTGGGTCTAGTTTCATCTGCTTCTAGCAGGCGGTCCTACCGGGGCCTCTTGTTTCAAGCTGCCCCGTCACCTGGACTCTGCGCTCACAAGCAAGCCCAATCCGTTCAAAAAACTGTGAGGTTTGCTCTCTATGCTGGGCTCCGGTAGAGCTTGCTGAGCAGCAGAGGTGAAACACGAGAACCTAATCCGATCCCTCCTCGCGCGGAAGTGGCGGGCCCCTTTAGGGCCACGGGCAGGTCCTCCGTGGTGCGAGGCCTGGCGGTCGTTGGCACATTCAGTTTAGGGTTGAGGGTTTAGGGTTTAGGGTTTAGGGTCAATTTAAACTCTAAATCCAGTCCAAAGTGACCCCGGCCTCAAACCGATACCCCTGAATCCAAAGCCCAAAACCCAAACTCGCACGCCCCAAACCCCAAACCCCATAAAATCCCAGACCCCAATAAGGGGCCCAAACCAGAAACCCTAAATCCAAAACCCCAAGTCCTCACGGGACTTATAAAACTCCATTTATAACTACCCATGAACCTCGAAGAAGAACCCTCGACTGCTACAAAAAACTATGAACCCTTGCGGCAGTGTGCAAAACGCTCGCAAAACCACTTACGAATCACTTATAACAACACGCGCAAGCCCTGGCTCACACGCTCGATCCAGGAAGGAAGAGGAAGAGAGCCCACGAAAAAAAATGTCAGGAACTGCATCTCCCCCAGCCTTCTCGTGAGCCACGGCTCAAGCCGAAGGGAGACTGGCAGGGACGGGTTTTGAGCTTAGGGTTTCAGGCTTCTGGGATTCAGTGCTTCAGGTATACCTTCACCCCAAATAACCTGCCTCTTTAAGGACTTATAATATTAATAAGACACGCATAATAAGGAACCCTCAAAAGGTAGGTTCTTTAGGGTCCAGGTAGGGCTACGAATTCGTCAGATGGGCCCTGCATGGTTAAAGCCTGGTCTGGTGAAAGGCGGTACTATCCTTTCGTGCACTGTTGGATATAGGGGCCTTGATGATTAGAATAAGGTCTTGGGGCCAACAATACTATAATTATACTGAGGAATCCCCAAAGTAGTGTTGGTAATCTGTTAGGCCCCTACATTAAGTTTGTATGGGGGATAGTTTACAGTACCAAGTCTCATGTTCTGCCCGGTTTAGGGTTAGCAAGGCATTTACTACTGACGAATTCTTCAAGCCCCGATATTGTGGCTTACTTGGAGGTTCAGGGGTAGCTATAAATGGGGTTATAAGTAGGGTAACGATAGTTATAACCCATATTAGGGGACTTATAACTCCATTGACAACTACCCATGAAACCCTAAACCCTAAACCCTAAACCCTAAACCCTAAACCCTAAACCCTAAACCCTACCCATGAACCTCCAAGTAAGGCTTAGAGGCTTCTTAGGAAAGCTTCCGGGAGTTTGGGAACTGAGGGCCTCGGGTTGACCCTGTCATGGGTCTTGGGCTTGGCTTTGGGTTTAGGGTTTAGGGTTTAGGGTTTAGGGTTTAGGGTTTAGGGTTTAGGGTTTAGGGTTTAGGGTTTAGGGTTTAGGGTTTAGGGTTCAGGGTGGTTTAGGGTGGTGTGGGGCTTGGGGCTTCGGGTTTAGGAGTCTGGCAGTTGCGGTTTGAACATTTCGGGTTCGGGATAAAATGTAGACCACTGGTTAGCAAACTCCCCCTGTTTCAAAAGGCATCATCAGAGAGATCCTATTACTAAGGCCATTTGCCAACTCAGGGGTCTACGTTATGAGCCCCAAAACCCTAAACCCTACACCCTAAACCCCTAAACCCTGCTAAACCCTACACCCTAAACCACACAAAACCCTAGGCCCTAAACCCTCCACCAGCAAACCGACCTTCTCGAAGAGAACCCCAAGCCCAGAAGCTCGCGCCTATCTTGGGCGGCGAAGGCCACCACGCGCCCGTGGTCGGCATTCCGCATCCGGGTCCCGATGGCTCCCTGAGATGGGCAGGGAAATTTTTCCGGCAGGTAACTTGGAGGTTCATGGGTAGTTATAAATGGAGCTATAAGTCCCCTAATGTGGGTTATAACTCTAGTTACCCTACTTCTAAGCCTACTTATAACTATCCATGAACCTCCAAGTAGGCAAAGGATCAGGGACTTCAAAAGTAGGCTGTAAGTAAGGGTAGGTGGGAAAACCACCCTGCTACAACTTCAGGAGTCTACTCTGCTTTAGAGGCCCTCTAGAGATTCAGGAATGTCCGTTGATTGTGTTGGGCACTCTGGGAACCAGGGGTTAAAATCATAAGCATCTCTATCAGCCTCCCCTGGTGGGTCCCCCCTGGTGCTGCTCCTCTCGGGCGATAGGCAACTGGCTCAAATGCATTCGAAGAGGGCTATAAAGGCCAACTAGGAAGTGTTAATTAGGCTTTAATTGCTTTCGAATGCTCTCGACCCTGCATGTATCTTAAACCGGCTTGTTTCCTCCATAAAATGGCCTCGAAGGATCACTGTCCAGCCGCCGAAAATTTCAAATAAGCTTCTTAAAGTCTCGGCATGGATCTCTGGGCATGACATGTGCAGAGAAAGCATAGGCTGGAAAGAGCAATTGAGAACATTTAAAGGCATTTGAGTGGCATTCGAGAGCATTTCAGCGGCGTTCGAAAGCATTTCAGTCGGCTTCGCGGGTATTTGAGAGGCGCGGTTCCTGCACGCAAAACCCTCCTTGCATCTCGAGAGTTTTGAGAGTAGTCGCGATCCACAAAAAGAATTCTCAAATACATACTTGGAGGTTCATGGGTAGTTATAAGTAGGGTTATAAGTAGGGTAACTATAATTATAACCCAGGTTAGGGGACTTATAACTCCAATTATAACTACCCATGAACCTCCAAGTAGTTGAGCATTTAGACCCTGGAGGGGCCCACCAGGGACGGCTGATGGAGATGCCTATGATAAAATAACCATGGTGGACATCAGAATAGGAAGGGCTACGACACAGAAACGGCCAAAGCGATACAGGGGTTTAGGGTTTAGGGTTTAGGGTTTAGGAACGATACAGAAGCGGAGGAAGAAGCAGAGGATTGGATGGGGATGTAAGGATTTCGGGTTCAGGAGCTGGCCCCGCAGCAACCACCGCAGCAACCACCACCACCTCTTAGCCCCCGCAGCTCCGAAAAGGCGCACGGTTCCTGCACAAGCCCGAAAGACCCCTGAATTTCTGAACCCTCAAAGACCAAAACCACCACCCCTAAACCCTAAACCGTGTAAGGCCCGACCTAAACTCTAAGCCCTAAACCCCTCTCTGAGGTTGCCACCCAGAAGGTGGCTCGCTCCAGGGGCGTCATGGACTGCGACATGGGATTTAGGGTTTAGGGTTTAGGGTTTAGGGTTTACCTGAACGCCATTTAACCTCCTGTTTAGGGTTCCTTTTCATGCTTTCCTTGCATCAGAACTTAAAAAAGGTGGGTTCTTGGGGGTCCAGGTAGGGTTTAGGGTTTTTTTTGGCCCCAAACCCTAAAAAGCCGAAA